CTAAAGTCCCCAATATGGACCAATGATAAATCAACCTGAAATTGTGTGGTTCCCGAAAGGCGGGAACACTGTCGTATTTATTACGACTAAAACCTTCGTAATTAGTACGAATTAAAACCAAAATAAAAATCAGAGTTAAATTTACTTAATACCTAATACTCGGGCTTGAGTCTTCCTCAAGCGCACGTGTAAGCTAGTGACGGTACGTTCTAGCCCCGTTACAGGCACAGTGAGTGGTTTGGGGTCTCATCATACAATTTTGAGAACCCACTCCACCACACATCCATTTTACCGATTTCGGACTTAACCGAAAATTCGCGATCTCACTTTGCAAAATTCTTTCTTTCGCTTCGCCACAATATACGCCTAAATGGTTTTGTACAAACAAGTTTGGTAAAGCGATCGGATAATTTGAAAGGGATCGATCAAAGAAATATCGTCAATCCCTATCCTGCGATATTATTTTTTAATATTTATTATTTTTATTTTTTATTCGCTACGATTGGTCAATAAGGCATGCAAGATGGTTGGAAGAGAGGGTAACGGTGTCAAGAACACAAAAGAATATGGATCCAAAGAGTACGGGATGTGGACCACACACCACAGTCGCGATCCAGGATGATCGGATTGTAATCTTAATTCAGAAAGTAGATCGCAAAGCGTAACAAGTTACAGATCGATACGCAACCACAATCCAGAAACCGGATCAACATAACCGGATCGACAAAACCGGATCGACAAATCCGGATCGACAAAACTGGATCGACAAAACTGGATCGACAAAATGGGATCGACAAAATGGGATTGACAAAACTGGATCGACAAAACCGGATCGACAAAACCGGATCGACAAATTGACGCAGTATTTGAAGTGGACCACAAAGAAAGTCTGTTTTATTTGCAAGAAGGCGACACGCGGCAGTAGATCCTAAGCTACATATAGGCAAGATCATAGGTTTTGGTATTTGATTCGTTGACATTAAACAAAGTTTCTTTTTCATCTAACTACGCACGCAGACTTCTCTTCCGGGTAAAAATTTGCCCCCCGACGATCAAGAGCTTCTGCCACCAGTACTTACAAGTAATATCCTTAAATTGTTTGGCCAGGGATTACAAGATCTCTCACGAACAAACTTCGCCTGCGATTGGACGCAGTATCACGTAAAGGACAAGGCACAAGATCGCGAGACGGCTCAAGTAGTCGGAAGGTCAAGTGAATCAAGTGGATCAAGTATTTACAATTTGGACATAGCGATATCAAGAGAGATCAGGGCAACTCATATAGAGTGCCCAAGTAACCCTCGATCGCGTGAACATTTCCGCACGATCGAACCCCCAACCAATTACAACCACGGTCAAGTTTAGCATCAACTAAAGTCCACCGAGAAGAGTGCTACCCGCCCTACCGACGGGTACACAAGGTGAGGAATGAATTGCTATACACGGAAGCGGAGAACCCCCCGATAGTCGGTTGTCCGGGCGCCAATGGAAAGTCGGGATCACATCAGAAATTTTGTGAACCCCGCTCCACCACAAGCAGCGTTATCGCGCGCGGTACTGGAGCTACCTCCAGAGTGCGGGCAGATATCGAGCAACATGTTCCTAGAAAAAGCTGACATCGTTGGACGGACCTGGAATAGAAGATGGTGGATATCGTGCTCCGTGTGCGTGACCATTCTTTGGATCCAGCGGAGTAGAATTTATCATAGTCTGGAAAGTGCGTCCACGGAGCAAGAGGTAGCGGAAGTCAAACAAGCCCTTCCGCCCCAACTCCGAGCGGTCGCTGTTATAAAACAACGAAGAGATAGGGATGTGAGCACTGAATTCTACCTCCGCGTATCAACGGAAATGTTTAAGACATTATCGTCAGTCAGCAGCCAGCACTGCATAGCCCTCGTAACCGACAGGAGACATCTTCTGGGTTACTGACATGGCTGACGACTTTTTAGAACTCTTGTCGATGCATCCAATTATACAAAGGAGACTATTTTGCTACGAAAGTTTAATTTAGACAGGTTTGACGTTTAAGCAGTTTTTAGCAAAAAAAATACTGTAAACATCACAGTTTTGTATTGATTAAATGTTTCCATTTCGACCAATCAAAATGATAAAGTTATGTACATTGGAAAGGTGAATTAATCAACCAGAAAGTTGCAGGATTTGCTTAAATATTTACAAAAAAAGCAAAAATTAGACAATCTCGCCAATAATTGGCTCCATGCCGTTCCAAGTGCCCAAATGGTACGTGTCTGAGTCTTTACTTGTTTCCTCACTGCGATAATCTCTGTTCTTTACTCTATTTTATCTTCTTAGGGCAATGCCTCCCACACGTCGTAACTATCGTGCTCAACTTCAAGTGGACAAAGGAGGTAAATGCAAGGAACAAATTTCCATTGGTTCGCAGTCGTGCTATATTTTGGGACGCAGTAAAGAACTGAGTGACATTTGGGTGCAACATTTTTCCATTTCACGTCAACATGCGGTCATTGCACATGATAAAGAGGAACAGATATTTCTCATGGATTTAGGCTCAGCTCAAGGAACTTTTTTAAATGACAAGGAAATTGTACCGAATGAACGTCAAAAGCTTACAGATGGAGATCGTATCAAGTTTGGAGCAAGCACTAGAACATACGTGTTCAAAAACGCAATTGAAGAAGATGAAGCATCGGATCAAAAAGAGAACAAACGTACAGAGACAGCTAGTGGAAACCCGGAACTCCAACGGATGATGCAGGAAATGCAGAGCTTTGGTGACAAGAAACTTTATCAAAAGCAGAAGAAAAAGGATGAAAAGATGATGACGGAAGCTGATGCTAAAGTCGAAGAGCGAAAGAGGGTGGGGATCTAACTGCGGCTAATGAGCTCAAAGTGCTGGGTACTATGTGCTGATTGCTGATTTGCTTGTATGTTGTACTTAGAGACAAGCTGAGATCGCAGCAATGACTGCTCAAATGATGCAAGCACCCGCACAGGTTTCCGAGACTAATGTTGATGTAGAAGAAGAGCGACAGCGAGATAATAGTGCTGATAGGGACAGCTCAGCAGAATCTGAGAGTGATGATAATGACGGTGATAACGACGTGGCGCTTCGTTATGGTTTACCCAAGTCTCGTGAAGTAGCCCTTGAGAGCCACACGAAAGGGCTGGTTTGCATTGCCGTTGACACGCCAGGTGCTCGAGTGGCCACGGGATCCACAGACTACCATGTCAAATTGTGGGATTTCGCTGGCATGGCACGTCATGTCCGTCCGTTCCGTGATGTCGAAGTGGATGACGGTCACCCGCTTGTGGCTGTGAGCTATAGCCCGTCAGGAGATTGCTTGCTTGCGGTTACTGGATCCTCGCAGCCGAAGGTACTCACGCGTGAGGGTGTGGAAGAGCTGCAATTTGCAAAAGGAGACATGTATGTTGTCGACATGGCTAATACTAACGGGCATACCCACACAGTAACTAGTGGTCAATGGCATCCAAAACTACGCGAGCAAATGATAACGAGCTCGCTAGACGGTACGGTGCGACTGTGGAGCCTCGGGGGCAAACAGGCATTCAACAAGCTCGTCAATACGTCCGTGTTCAAGTTTAAGGACCGCCGCGGCCGGCGATGTGGAGTGACAACCTGTCGTTTTAATCCAGATGGTAGGTTAATTGCAGGAGCTACTATGGACGGTCAAGTGCAGTGTATTGATCCGCGCAAGGCTTATGCGGGAGCTGCCATTACTATTCGTGATGCGCATGCCGACGGTGGGGGTGATTTGGGCGTTTCTTCGATCCGGTTTTCGTCCGACGGTAAATTTATGGCTTCACGATCCTGCTCAGATGATACCGTCAAGATCTGGGATTTGCGTAAAACAAAAGAGAGCATGAAGGTGTTTCATGGTATCGAGGGTGTATACGGGACGTGTAATCTCGCCTTCAATCACAACGGTACGGCCATAGCTGCCGGGACATGTGTTCGGAAGGGAAAGGGCCTAATGGGACAGGTTCTTTTCCTAGATGTACATACACCTGGCCTCGTGGAGCCTGTTGCTAGTATTGACATGAAGGAAGACGAAAGTGCTGTGTGCGTGGAGTGGCACCACGGTATCAATCAGATTTTTGTTGGAAGCTCTAGGGGGACTTGCCGTATTTTCTACGATCCACAACAAAGCACGAAGGGTGTTCTTCTAAGTGCCACGAAGAAGCTGAAGGTGCAAGGCAGTGACTCAGGGGTCCGCATCGATGGTGCCGGCAAAATATACACTCCCCACGCGCTGCCTATGTATCGCGATGATACGTCAGGGTCTCGTAAGCGAAAATACGAAAAGGTACGCGCTGACCCGAAGGAGTCTCGTGCGCCTGAAAAACCCATTACAGGCCCAGGCATGGGTGGCAAGATCAGCGGTAGTACTACTTTCACGCAGTACTTCATGAAAAGTCATATTAAGTCTTCATTCCGAGAGGAAGACCCACGAGCAGCAATTTTAAAGTACGCCAAGGAGGCTGAAACAGACCCACAATTCTTGGGTGTTGCTTACAAAAAGGAAAAGATGGACCCGCGTTACCAGCTCGCCAAGCAGACTCTTGAGGAGGAAAAACTTGCAAAGGAGGAGGAAGACCGTCGTTTGTTGCAGCCATAGACGACCATGAAGATTGGAAGTTGTTGATATAGATTTTGCAATAGGATCGACCGCATAATATTCAGCGTGACGGAAGAAGCGGAGATGATGTTTGCGAATTGCAAATTGATATGATATTGCTACTGGAATGAATGACTGCCACAAACTTGATGGAGGATGACACGCATTCGGGACATTAAGTGTCTCATACTAAGTGATCAGCTGCGTATCTTCGACGCCGCCGCTGCTGCTAGTATACAAAGTTAGTGCTTGGTTCGGTTCGCCGGCTTGAGCTCACATGTGCAGCTTCTGTCTTTTATGCCGGCTGCACAAACCTCTACACCGGGCAACACTCGAACAAGCATCGACCCTGCACTTCTGTGATGAATGCGTGGCACATTTTCCTTGACGTTGAGCACCCTTCTTGCAGCCAGGGGCGGTGCACAACTTGCCACCACCGTGTGCTCGGCACAAGCCTCCACCTTGGCTACTTGTCCCGCAGCCTTCGACCTTGCAGCGTGCGCCACCACCGTGACGTTTGCACCGATGCATTGTCTGCGCTCCACGAGTACAGCCTTCAACCACGCAGCGCCTACCGCCGCCATGTCGGATGCACTTTCCTTTGCTCTGCATTTTTGTGTTGCACCCGGCAACTTCGCATTTGCCTTTGGCCTTCTTCCACATTGACAGCTGCTGTCTATTCTTCTGTTTGCTCTTGTCCTGCAATGAATCCGTGTCCTCGAATAGCTCTATCAATTTCTGAGCATCGATATGATCCGACTGAGGCATCTCGATCGAGAAGGCGGGGCCGACAAATGATGGCGTTTCTATCCAGCTTTGTACCGGACAAGACAATGGCTCAGTCAGAACCTGAACATTGTGCGAAATTATGAGCTCGGTTAGATCGGCAGGTAATGCTGCATCGTGAATTGGGGTCATTGGTAGTGAAACATCCAGCACTTGGGGCATACATGGATCTTCGATTGAATTGTAGCTGTTGATCAACGTCATATCATTCAAAGCATCGTCACTGGGTATCACCAAATGCAGCAGGGCCAAAATCTCGCTGCTGTTGGGAACTTCATCGGGTGTACTTGGATTGAAACCTTCGAGTACGTTTTGCTGATAGATGTTCATGTTGACAAGTCCCTAAAGTCTTGGTCGTTGGAGAGAATTCTTAAAAGTGAGCGAGGAGTATGGATTGCTCTCGGTGAAGCTTTCTACCATCGTAGACAGTGTAGCCGAGTGGTAAAGTGGACGACCACAAGCCACAAACTAGACAGGTCTCGACAATGTGTGAAAAAGTGATGGACGCAAAAAAGGTGAGCGAATCCATGGACCTGGTACTTCCTCAAGTATCACGGAAGGAAAATGTAGAAGATCTTGTTGAACATTTGAGACGATTGAACACTTCAAGATCAATCTATTCTCCACCTTCAGTCTCTTGACTTGAACAAGTGCCAATACACTTTACTGGCATGTAGCAATACGAGGGTACATTTCAATTAAGACATTGAGTTTCCATTGAAACATGACTAAGAAGAAACAAGAAGGAGGAGGTACTTCAGTTACAATTGCAGCATTCACTCGCCCGCTTCCACACGTGCGTCTTCACTTGGCGTAGCGAGGGTCAAATCGTCAAACATAAGCACAGGTTCGACTGGCACAAATGGATACTAGCACTCCCTGCCAGGGGTCGAGAGCATATCTGAGACCTCATCTTTGGAACATCTACTCGAGATGCTCTCATACACGAAACTTGGCCGCTCTCACAACACGCTGCTGGTTCGCTTTCGCTGTCATGTAGACAAAGAAAGCGTCATTACTTGACATATAGAGGCAGTATCCAACTTACTTCTCACAAAGATGATCATAGCGTACGACTTCCTCTGGAGTTCCTCTGTAGTTCAGCATGTCACTTGGTTAATCATACCAACAAAACTGAACAGACCGATAAATTTTATGTACGCCTTCTTCTTAAGGTCCACTGCTGGAGATGCCTACGAGCTTACAAGTGTTGGAATGTCATTCTGTGTGCCCCTTTGTGGGTGTATTCCAAACTTGTCGGATGAGTCTTGTGGCAGTACTTCAGAATTCGACTGACCAGGCTGCTGCTTTCTCCACTCTTACCCACTACAACCATCATATGAATGATACTGGGAAACGCGTTGGTGTTGTTGAGAATAGCAATCCATGAGTTTGTAGAAGCCACAACGCAATAGAGCTGTCTTTTTAGTAGACGACTACGTGAGATATAGCTAGGTTAAGATGGAGTTCCTTCCAAATCTAGCTTTTTAGATAAGTGATCTCATTAGCGCAACTGTGAAGCGTTCTACATTTACCCCCCCCCCCCCCGGGCTCCTGCTAATAGTGTTGTCTCTCAAGATATCATGGAAGCGCTTCAGTGAATGTCTGTTCTTAACGATTGCACAGCCGGTAAACGCAGTGGCTGTAGATCTAAACTAAATTGGACGCAAGATTAGGCCTGGAAGCTTCTTGAACCATGTGCCAGAAAGCAGCGACACTATCAAAGCGAAGCCATGACGCTAATCCAATGTTTAACAGTAAAGGTTTACCGCAGCTCCATGCTTAGTAGTGCCTTGTGAGAAGCGAATGGACGTATCTACGTTAACCAACCATCATCTAATGCTGGTGAGTAGCTGGGTACGCTGCTATACAACTGCTAGTTCTTCCTGTATGACCACCTTGCCAAAGCGCAAGTCAAAGCGTTAGCGTAGAGTAGCAACCTCGTAAGATTGCGCTCATGCAGCACTTTTAGAGCTGCACGTGAAGAGTGCAAGCATATCTAGAAACAGGAATGTTGATTAAACGTTACGAATGATACGCACACATTAACGCTCTAGCGTTGTCGATACTTCTTCAAACGAGTAAATCCTTTGATTCAGTTAAACGTATTCAACCGCAAAGCTCGATTCGAGGCCTTGTAGCAAGCAGCAACATCACTTCCATCATCCGACTGAGCTCGAGAGCAATAGCTATTGCTTCCAGCAAACTCGGTTAATGTTTGTCAACGTCTCAGGAGTGCATCATCTCCCTAAACAATTCGAATTCCTAAACCATTTTCAAATCACTCCTGCAGATATCCTCAAAATTCAAGATGAAGCTCGAAAGTGAAGTCTCGGGACTGCTATGGTGGGACGAGGAATTCACCGAGCCTCAAGTTTCCTTCCGTACCACCTTGTTCCCAGCATTGTTAGGTGTTTGTGACACACAGTTGCTGTCTTCGGAGCTCTCGCATGACGAAGTGCGTGTGGTGACTGAGTTTTGCATCTCCCCCGATGCCAACCAAACCGACATCGTGACCAAAGAAGACGTGGGGCCTGCAATTCAATGCCAAGATATTTCAATCTTAGTGGTTCACAATAGTTATGATGTGGTGTATGCTGTTTCAATTATTGCAGTTCCGTCGATTCCTTGCACGGTTTGGACCGCTCAAGTTCAGTTTGTCCAAGTTGGTAACGTGTTTCTGCGTGAACCGAGAGGTGGTGCCTTGGTTTCACGGAGAAATAGGAAGAAAGGAGGCCGAAAGTGTCTTGACTACGAGAAAATGTAGCGACGGCGCGTTTCTGGTGCGATTTTCGGAGTCGCATCCGACGAAGTTCACTCTCACGTACCTCAAAGTGCACTCGGTGGGATCTCAAACACCTGGGCGACGCGAAGTAAAGAACTGTCTTTTGACGAATTTGGGCGTGTCTGGATATGCAGTGACAGAAGCAATGAGACGTCATGCAGACACGAGTGTTCGACAGCGCACGTATCCGTCAATTAGGGCATTTATTCAGTCGAGCTCCGGCAGACTCAAATACGGGGTACGTATGTGAGGCTCGTAGACGACAGTGATGCTGGTTCGGTGCTCATAATGTTTGTAAATCCTGCATCTACAGGTCGCGTCGGATTTCTCTGCGCAATGTAATCAGGAGCTAGCAGCAGTGCGAGCCCTGCAAGATCATCAGAGCGACTTTTATGCGGCATTCAGAAGTGAATCGTTTGGAAATCCAGTATCTCGGATAAACGCGGTAGCAAAGTCCTTTTCAGGGCCTGAGCCGTCGCAATCATCGTTTCATAGCATGCCGTTACAGAATTCAAACGCTGGAAACACAAGCGAAGCAACTTCCAACAGCTATGCAAGTTTCTCGCTAGACTCAGTCGCGCCGCCTAGTGTGCATCGTGAAGAAATCTTGGAACAAAGTGATGCAGGACTCACCATTCAGTACGAAGACAAGAAGCTCGCACGCAGACAGTGGAGCGAAGCAACTTCGGGTGACTACGGAATTTTCACTTCATTTGGACAGCCAGAGGAAGAAGCACACCCTGGCACCAACACCAATGCCTTCTCCGGGGATCATGCTCAGCGCGAGCCTGCTGATAGTATTTCTGACGTGTACGCCTCCTTCGCGAGTGTGGCGTCAATATATTCCCAAGACTCTGAACAAGCGGCAATACGTGCTCAACAAGCCATTTCTTTCTCAAAGCCTCCTATGTCTACGACATCGATCACCCAGCCTAGTTTTATAAACAACGGAGCGTACGGATCATTTGCGAGCATTGCTGTGGCCAAGCCAACAACTTCCACTTCAGTCAATGTTCCGATGAGCGGGAATCCAAACATGGCAAGCCGCGATTTGTCAGACACTGGTGACTACGGCAGCTGCCCAGCAAATGCGCTCGAAGACAAGCACCCTCAGTGGGAACAAACACTAAGGCCCCCTTCCCTGTCTGTGGTCGTCAAATCTGACTTTGACATCCAGAATGTTTCTCCAGACGCTGACATTTACGAGAACTTGGCTTCGCTATCACTTGCTCAAAACAACGCGCCACTGCAAGCAAAAACATATATGCCGAAGCCCCGGTATTCTCCAGCTCGCGCTACCCCGTTACCACCGTCAAACGCGGACGTGTGCGGATCGTTGGACGTGGCAACAGCAAACTTATACATCAAGACGACTCCAACCACTTCGGCGTTGGATGAGCTCAATGTGGGTATGAAATTTTACAAGCAAAAGCGGTTGGATGACGCACGTCTCCGATTCATGTTGGCACAAGAAATGGCACGTGCATCAGGAGACCATGTCGTGGAAGCGCGTGCACTCGGCAATTTGGGTACGGTGCATTTGGACAAGAAAAATCTGCACCAGGCTGTACGTTGTTACCAACAATGTTTGGATATCACACGCGCAATCGAAGATACGAAGCGTGAACGCACTATTCTCAATAATCTTGTTCTTGCACTAGTAGCTAGTGAGGACTTCGAACGTGCGCTTGCATATTGCCAAGTCCAGCTTGAGACAACCACAAATGCCATCAACCAGCGTAAAATTATCTCTCGCATGAGTCTGCTTCGCGAGAAAATGACTCGACAAGCCAAAGTGTAACAACTCGCTGTCGTGGCTACACCATCAAGCTAATGACAGTCTTTGCCATTCACTTGATGGTGTTGCTGCATTACCAATGTTCTTGGTCTAGTGGTCTACACAGCGACTAATGCCTGTATTCTTCCAGATCGATCATGAGATAAAGTTGCCACCAGGTAATGGAGGAAGCACTTCGAAGAAGAGCTGGTTAAGGGACAACTTGATAGCTTCGTCATTCTTGTCTTGGTGGCTACCGATGCTGTCGTGTGTTTGGAGCTGTTCCAACTCGTCAACTGCCAATTCGTCGTCAAGAAATTGCTTCCAGTCCGTCGAGAATGCTTTCCAGTCTTGGTGGCTGCATAGTAATTCTTCTGGGTGACTTGCTGGTATGAGCTCAGATAAAAGATTAACATCACCAGAAGGGTGTCTTGTTTTTTTCACACTGGTCGCATAGCCTACGTGGAGCAGCAGTTCTACTTGTTTAGGGCGGTCCGTAGTCTGTGCGACGGAAGGCACAAACCCAATACCACGAACCACACGACGCAAATCGGCACAAGCTAACACAACACCATAGATACGGCAGCAAAGCGCGCAAATTTCAGGGTGAGAGTCCGACACGAACGAATAGAACGACGCCATATCGGTATGGTCACTTGTCGTAGCTGCATCAAACGGGAACTGACGAAGTTGGTATGCATTGAGAATCGCTTCCGCCTTGTTGCTGGAGATCGGTGCCACTACGGTTGAGCCACTACGTAATTGGGCCTGATTTTCTTGTGGCTGGCAGAACCAGCGTTGAAAGTAGAGCTGAAAGTAAGATGACACTGCCTTCCACTGAAGCGCGCTATTACTCAAGTCCAACCGCTCACTTTCCATGTGAAAGTCAAACACATATGCAAGCACCATCGTTGGCAGGTCATACCGCTGCCACATAGTGTCCAAAAGTTCATGAAGCCTGCGTGCCACGACTTCTATCTCGTCATCATTGCTGCTCGACAATGAATTCAGTTCTGCAGGTTCTGCGAGGGCTGCGTACTGCTGACTCATGCGACCGAACTGGTACATGACGTGAGCAAGGGTAAGTCCTCCTTGGACAGTGGCCGTGTATTCATCATTGTTGTCACAAGCACTATTGTTCTCGCCCACTTCAGCTTTGGACTGGAACATAATATTATACGCTTCTCTTAATGGGGCAAGAAGCATATCCAATCCCCGCAGTGTTTTCCAGATTTGGCAGTTGTTGCCAAGAACAAGTTCACGCAGTGCCGACGGCGCCAAAACGGAGCCCCGATCATCTTGATTTGTACATAGCACAGTGATAGCGTCGCTGTACTGCAGGATCTTCGTGAGGCAAGCCACTAATGAGAACCAGTGATATTTTGTTGGAAGTGGGATACGTGCATCATTGTCGCCAGATATGCTACGTAGTAATGCTTGTAGTCGCGAATTAGTAAAATATGCGGCCAATTCGACAAGCTGTCCCACAGCATCACGGTACACGTCGTGTGTCAGAACGCCACCCACCAGAGACGTCAATACGCCGAACATGCACGGAACTACCAGCAAAGAGCGCCACCGTGTACTACGACACACTCTCTTTGCAGCACTCAGCGCAGTAGCAGAGTCAGCCACAATGCCAATAACACAAATATGCTTCTCATTCAGATCCAGCAAAACGTCTTCAATGGCGTGGGTAAGCGATAGCAGCAATGGAGAAACATCATCACTGTTATTATCAGTAAAAGTATGTTGACTTCCCACATCTTCCACTCGTACACACGCAGCATCTCCCTTCAAATTGACAAGTGTAAATGCAACCAGATGCTGTAGATCTAGAGTGCACCAACAGGACACACTCAGTGTAAGACCGCTCTTGATTCTCGAGTTCAACATGTTTTCCTTCACTCGTTCCAATTGCGTACGTGCAAATTTTGCAGCCGTCTCTTTCAAAAACGTAACACTTCCAACGCTACTGATCCTTTCATCACTAGAATGTATTCTCATGGGACTAACAACTTGGAGTAATTTCTGAAAGTCGTTCTCTTGAAAAGCCGAGAGTGAAATGCCTGTTGCCACTGCAGTCTGCAACAGTGTTGTCCTCCATTTTGTCATAATGTCCTCGTCCATTGCAACAATTAGTCCACGTTTTGTACATTGTGTAACATTCAGTTCACTTTTCAAGGTCGGTCCCTTTTCTGTATCTTTGTTAGTAAAGGTCTCCAGCGTTTCACTCCCTGTCCTTTTTCTTGTCACATGTACGTTTTCTGGTATTGCCGCTGAAGCAATGACAGCTGCTGCGTCATTATCCACCGTTGCATTTGCCACCGCCATCGCGTCTAAGAGCAGCACTTGATTTTCGTCTTCTTCGTTAACCAGTCGATTGCCGCTGCCACTATAGCCGTTTGCATTCTTCTTGGCAGGGGTTGTCGTTCGTTCTCGTTGACCCCAAAGCTCTTTAACTGTATCAAGCACTTTGTGAGGACAATTAGGACAGCTCTCTAAATGTCGTAGCATCTCGGCAGACACACCACGTGTAGGCGGCACTTGCTCGACACCATGACGAGCGACGCAGTAAGAGCAAAATGCGTGGTAATGGTAGCGATTCCGCTTCTCTCCACGATGAAAATGTGTCCATAGAGGATGAACAGGCCGCCCTGTGCGCTTAAGCGGCGGTACCTCCAGCTCCATAATTGTAGGTTGCAAATTAAGGGGGGATGGGGTACGAACGAGTGTAACCCAATTTGGGAAAATAAGAAGCATTTCAGAATAGTGACTATACCTGAAAGCCAGAGTGGTTTTATCATTAAAACAAATAAACTAATTTAATCACCTTCCGACTCTTCCATTATGGACACCACCGCTCAAACTCCTTCGTGCTCGGCGTCGGGCTCGCAGCGACGTAATCGTCAGACTAATGCTGACATCGCTGACTTAACCAACCATCAAGTAGCAGACGCACAACAACCCGACCACGACATGTTTGGCGGTGCGTAACGTTATCGGTAGATTCCACTCGACCACTTGCCTTTCTGACGATTTGGTGTGTGTCGTGCAGATTGGAACCTCAATACTTTCATGATGTTTATGCTACTGCTGCACTTCATGCAGTATGCGATGCGTCAACCTTGTGGCTGCTAAAGTGGCCTGCAAAAAAGAGACAAGAGAGGATCACACCTCAGTACATTTTTTCAGACGCTACTAAATACTTGTCGCTCCATGTTTTTTTCAACGTCTTTTAATCTTTTTTTTCGTATTAACTTGTTGTTAAAATGGCATTCAACCACTTTTCTACAAAGCAAAACGTTATCTCAATCTGTTTAAACGCTGCTTAAACAGCGACACACTCGTGCAACAGACTCGTATAACCAATACCAGTACAACAAACGTAGCCATCTCTCTCACGACGTTTCGAGTCGTATCCCTATTTCAACCAATGAAATGTCGTTGTCAGTAACCGTCAATGCATCATCAAGTGTTCGAGTGCGAGTCGTGTCGTGTCTGGACGGGGGCATCGGGGACGCCTTTGGATACCATTGAAACTGTAGAACAGCATGAGATGGAGACAATTCCTTTTAGTCTTGAACTTTGGCTGAAAACCGAGCCAAAACAGGCGTCTGTAGCGGTTCAGAGCGCGGTAGCGGCACAAGGTCTTTATTTGGTTAAAAGTCGTGCATTAAATACCCATTTCCAGGCAAAGTACAGCATTTTGCTACCACTTGAAACATTGTTCTCCTTTTCTATGTACAGGTACGTGTTAATCACGTCAAAATTTTGAGGAGATAAAGCGTCATTTTGTATGGAAATTGTGACGAGAAAAGCGCGTTCATGTTGTTCTTCAGTCCGTCGCCGTTTGTGTCGATCGTTGTGGTGGTACTGAATATCAATGAGAAACAACAACAAGGATATTTCTTTGGTCGAGTACGGCAAGTTGTGTTGGGATCAGCGTCAGGTGGAAAACTGCAGCTATTCGGTGAGCAAGATAATGCCGTCTTTTATGAGACGGACGTGGCGGTGAAGTTGTTGGCTGTGCTGCATGCTGCATTTCCTAGAGTTGAGCTGTCAAGCTCGGCAAAGAAATGTCTGAGTAAAGAAAGAGTGGGGTATCGTCTAGCTGGAAATAAGCTCGGTGAAATGATGAAGCGAAGAAAAACGCTCTCGGCTGATGCATTTTACGGGCCAAAGGCTGTGAAACCGACAGTAGCAGGTTCTTTGGATGGCCATGTGTCGGATAATCGCTGGCAAACATTTTACGAGAAACTGCAATTTCGAGTTTCGCATTCGATAACATGCCAGCTTGAGGGCACAGCACCGATTTCGTTGACGTTCCCTCGACAGAAGGAAACGTTTGAGTTTGTAGATCAACTTGTAGCTTTTCGACGACGCATAAAATTTACCCGTGGTGTATCATCGAATACTGGATATGGTGATAGCGACTATGTACCCCGTGTGTTCTGTTTTGAGAATGCGCGAAATGGCAAACGGCGTTTTCTTGTGGCAAGTTTTGCCGCATTCTGGAAAAATTACACGCAAACCCGCGCTGACCAACGCCACGTTTATGAGATCATCCGTGAGGGCGTGCCTTGCCGCCTCTACTTGGATTTGGAATTCAAGCGTGCCATCAACTCCCACGTGGACGGCGATGCGCTTGTGGCTAGGCTTCTATCGCTTTTCCAACTGCAGTTTTATGTAAGTCTCTTTACGGCAGCGCTACTGCAGGTGAATCTTTGAGTACTGACGTAAATCTTCCAGCGCAGATATGGTATTCGCGTACATCACCGAGATATATACCAACTCGAGTCGTCCACTCCCGCTAAATTTAGTCGTCATGTCATCGTAGGTGAGCCCTGGATCTTGCTCGAAACTCACAGTTCTTGACTATTCTGTTGTTTTTATCTCGGGCAGTTTCACCTCCCCGGCGGCGATCTTTTCGCGAGCAACCTTCACGCAGGAGCTGTAAGGTGGCCATTTTTACTTGACTGGATGGTAAGCAGTAGGGTAATTAATACTTGCGCTGTGTATTCGTTTTTGGCAACAGTTTGTGCGTGAGCTGATAAACGATCTCGTGGCCCTCATTGATGAAGACTCCAAGGAGGAACGCCCTGACCAACTATATTCCCCATTTCTCGTCAACACTGAGTCTGAAAATGACTCTGTAGGCAAGAAACAACTGTTCATTGACACTGGCGTGTATACTCGAAATCGCATGTTTCGCGTGCTGGGCTCGTCGAAATTCAAGAGGCAGGCGGTCTTATGCATGCTTAATGCGTCGTCATCTTCGCTTACCGAGCTGGATCAAGAATCATTTCTTAACACCCTGGTGTGTCCATATCCAGTTATTGAAGCCGTGATAGATAGTCAACAGACAAAACCATTCCGTCTTCTCAGATGTGAGGCATCTCCTGCAGTCATAGGACGCAGTCGACGCTTTCATTCCTCAAGTGCTAAAAGTCTCGCCGCTTCGTCAGTTGAGTGTCGAAGTTCTGTCTACCCTGTGTTAGACGCCTTCATTCTCTCCAAAGCTACCAAGGGTGGGGTTCAAGGTAAAATCCGTGCCATTCAAATGCTACTGACCAAGAGCTCGGATATGCTGGCGATTCTCCCTGGCGATGGATCCGATCACGAGCCGCCGGGCGCTAACACGTTGAGTCGCCCGTGGATGATTATTTATCATATGGCACACAATCGTTGGTGTGCAAATATTCGACGGCCGCACAAGAGCAACAACGTCATGTTCATAGTAGACATTGATCAGCGTGTGTTTTATCAAAAATGTCATGACCCGGTGTGCCAATCGATGGACTTCAGGTACGCTGGATATCGTTTTGTCTGGGATCACTCTGGCCACGTGATATAACATGAATTCGACTGTGAATTCTGTAGGTCACCACCACAACCACTTCCATTGCACATTGACTTCAGCGCGGAGGCAATGGGAGGCTCAATTTGACATCACATCGAATATTAAGAAATGCTGTGTACGTGCACTGATCAGATCCAGATAAGTGCATGTGCACAGTATTTACTGCTGCCTGCTAAGCGTCGGAAAAATTCATGCGCAGCCAACCTCCTCGATTGCCGTCGTCATCGCCTACAGGTAATTTCGAGTGACAGAATGAAAAAAGCGAAGGCTCATCAATTGCACCCGAAAAAAATACCCATTACCTTAGCGGCTACGTTAGCACATGCGAGTGCTGTGGAACGAAGCTGCTCTTTCCATTGAAGTTCAATTAGGCCTCCAGTCGCTAGCGGGGCGATATTTTACGACCCAAACAGTTTTCCAACGCTCAAAAGTCAAGCGATTACTGGACGAAGAAAAATGTATGGTGCGGCACGACTATCTGCGATGTCAGGCATAAGAGTCCGTGCACCCTTGCAACTCCATGCCTCGCTACTTGATACTGTCGAATGCAAGTCAGGGCTGCGAGCGATGATATCGTTTAAGCGGTGACTTCCAATACAGAAAGTGACCGAGGTAATGGACGTAGTTGTAGACCTTGGCGTCGTTCGGCGGCAGTTGAGTACAACAATGTACTGATCAAATTGATCGTGCGTCGTGCTCACTGCAGTCACTCTCATACAGCAAGCGCCATTCGATCCGCTAATTATGAAGGCTGCTAGAAAACCTTGCCCAATCAAGTTGAAATTTTCAATCTGCTATGATGCCATAAGACCAAAGGCCTCTTTAGAATTTTGATATACTGCAGCTGCTACTTCGTCCATCGGTACATTTCGGATCTTTGCGGCACCATACAGTGCAAGTTTCACCATTGCAGGTTCATTCACACCTGCCGAACCTTCTTGCAGCGCTAGCGGTACGTTATCTGCCTGATTGAACAGCTCCTTAACAAGCTCAATGGAAGGTGTCTGATCAGGTGCATCTGTTTCAAGCAAAAGCGATTCCAACGGTAATTTCTTGCAACAAGCAGCAGCCTTTTTCATTTGTGGATCCGTCAATTGCTTGGCATTGAGTGAAAAAAAACTCGCGTGCCTCGTAGTGCCAGGAAAGACTGTATCATATCTAGTGATCCACTGTACGAGTGCAGTACAAGAACTGGAGGTAATTGATCGACATCCCGTAGAATGTTCAGCAGTTTTCCATAGTAGCCCACGCAATGAAGTACACAAGTTCTCTCTACCTCTGCTGCCAGATCCAGTTGCACTCGGAATGTCTCCATCTGAATATTCACTGGTACTTGTCGTCCTCTTTTGCTCTTGCATAGCCCAATCTCTCCCACCTAATCGATACAGTTACATAAAGTTCAGAATTCTTTAAAACCATATGATTGTAGCTTCAAGTTGAAGTTTGTCAGCATCAGATTCAGTAGTCGAACCTACACTTGCTTTTGGGTACAGTATCAACATGTCGCGTAATGTCTTTAATGGAACTGAACTTTTTATCAGTCTCATCTCCTGTGCCCACCACGGATGAACTCCAAATACTGGTACAATCGTCAAGAAGCTGTCGTGCTTCTGTTGCTCCATAAGTTGCTCCAAGATCCGCCAATCTTCTTCATGGGTAGCACATGACACAATGTGACTTAGATGGACACTGCGGGCCCTAGAAAGCACATTTTCGAAGCGTTGAATACTCGATGAAGAGCTAAAAGAATGAAAATGTTCATCGTGTAAATGACAATGAGCGTCTATCAATGGCCAAGTCATAAAGCCACGAACAAGACGGGGAAAGGTCAATCACTATGTGCGAATTTAATGTAACAGCGGCGTGTCCAGTGATCTTTTGCCCTTGAATCTAATAACCTCTAGAAACGTATAGTTTAGGACCCGTCGACCTGTCAATTAGCTATAGAACTCCTCCGAATAGTATGCGCGAAACTATGAGTAAATCTGTCCTTTTTCTTCAACTTGCAGTATACATGTGCACATCTCTTAACACATTCCTCGAGAACCAGTCCTGATTAAGGAACGTGTTAAGAGAAGCTACTCCAATTGACATGCATGACACATTTTCCAAAAAAGGTCTCTCGAGTCAAGTCGCTTAAGTACGCGCCATGGCGTCTTCTGCAACTGTGTCACCATGTTCCATGTTTGTGTTATTAGAGAGTGAGAGTCAAGTACCTCCTCGTATGATACGTCATCTTTCGAATGAGAATGGTCATGTCCGTAATTTACGTCATTTGAATCCATTACCCACTCATGGTGATGATGACGGTATCAATCAAAGCCAAAAATGAAGACGAACATGGTCATCAACAACGTGAGGACTCTATAAGTGACGTGTTTCCTATGACAGGAGGCAATGTATTTACAAATCCAGCCAATATTTTACCAACAAGAGAAGCTTCGATCCTCATTGACACGGATTTCGTACACCAGGCGACAGCTCAGGACACTGGACACAAAATGGGACTACCATCGACAACCTCTTGTACCCTGCACTCTGTCATGGAGCAAAAGGGAGAAGGATGTACGAGCTCGACGAATGCATCGGGACACAATGTCTCCTTTGAAGGTCAAGGCACATCCAGTGAGAACAACAGATCACATCATAGTGTCTTGAACAGGATTCCACCGTTGGAACCTGTGCAACGCGGTGTACGATGGGTTTGGAGGTTGAGAAAAAGAGTGATTTGTCAATGGAGACATGTCAACAGGTGTCGTCCGAAAGACAGACTTGGGATGCTATGGACACGCATGATGCCCAATTGGGACTCCCGTGCACTTATACTAGTCTTGGTGCTGGCTGTGCTGAGTGTGCCTGTAGCAGTTGGTATCGCTGCTTGTCTGTCACGAGCAACACCAAGTAAAATTCACCTGGTTGCACGATGTGCGCTCCCGAGGAGTAGACACACTCACTCCACATCGACAGCGACTTTGGCTGGAGTACTGATTCCGGCGATGAATAACCTTGTACTCTTTATAGTATCACTTTGGCTCGGTGTGCTCTGCAGTCGCAGTCGCAAACGTGTGCTGCGTAGCGCTCCCTGCAGCATTAGCTCCAATCTGAGTAAGTGTTAGTGTCTGGGTACCACTTTACATGGTAACTTACGATTATGTGTGTTGTCTCTTGCTGACAATAGAGTCTGCATTTATGCTTCCGTGCTACGAAGCGATATGGTACACTATTGCTGCACTGTCAGCACTTGGTTTAGTACTCTATTGTATCAGCTTTCGGGCTTACAAAAACGACAGTGACAAGCCACACCGTGCAATGACACTGGAAGACGATGCTAATTACCCATGTAGTGTAGTTGGAATGCCATCCGTGTGGTTGTTGCAGTTGCTACCAATGCTTATGATCCAGCGGAGTGTTTCTCCCCAAGCAGTGTTACGCGCCATAGTATACTCTGGAGCAGTGTGCACCATCCTCGTCACATGTAATATGACGCTGTACAAGGTTGGCTATGACATTGTAGACGCGATCGGAATGACCATTCACATTCTGTTGGTCATTTTTTACTTCTGGGCCAAGTTTGTGTTTCACGCTCGGGCCACTTTCGACTTTTTCTTCGTCGTTGCCGTGGTTACGTCGCTAGCAAACATTTTGAGTTATATCATGGGGCTAGCTCATATGGATGCAGCTTACGTATTGCCGATTATTCGCTGCACTGCCGCCGGACTAGAAGCACTCATCGTCGTAGCTATCCTGCTGTCTCTTCGTGCCGATACCCGATACTGGCTAGCCATTGACGACAACGGATCAGGTATGACGGCTTTGTCAAGCGCAATGCGCCGTTATATGAATTTGCTCTCGGAACGCGGTATGATCACCCATTTTTCGACGCGTACGTCGGTATATGATGTCCATCACATGATCGAGGAACACCGACACAACGTTGTAGACTTCTCGGCTCTAGCACTGGACGGTATTATTGCAAAGGGTGCCACTTCCGTGGTGATGCGAGGAACACTGCGAGGAAGCACCCCTGCGGCTATCGCACTCAAGATTTACACTGACGTACAGGTAACAAACGAAGAAGTGCAGCGATTTTCGCGCGAAACGGCACTAAATGTGCAGTTGTCACACCCGAATGTCGTTCGCTTCTTCGGTTTGTGTGTGGTGCCGCCATCGATCTCACTTATCTTCGAGTTCTGCGAGTACGGTGCACTGGACGTAACATTGCGGGGACATCCCGAGATTTGGACACTCGCAGCGAAGCTGAAGGCGTGGCTGGATGCGTGTCGCGCTGTTGCCTATTTGCACAGTTTTTCGCCCCCACTTTTGCACCGTGATATCAAGACAGACAACTTCCTAGTGGGTCAGGATTTTCTCATCAAGCTTGCGGATTTCGGTGAAGCTAATTTGCTTCGACCACGGACTGACGGTACAATGACGATTGCAGGCACGGTCGACTACATGGCTCCGGAGATGATTAAAGGTGGCAAGACAGCGTGTTACGGCACGGCTGTAGACGTTTACAGTCTGATGATCACGCTATGGCAGATTATGGTGCCTACACGGAGTCCCTGGGAAGCCAAATCTCACCTCGAAGTCTATCGGTGTGTGGCTCAAGGTGACAGACCTCCACTCCTTCCAATTATCCCAAAATCCTGCGCCAAGATACTCGAGGCTGGTTGGGCCGCCAATCCTAATGATCGCGTTGCTGTGGAGGACATTATACCCTCAGTTCACCGACTCTGGTTGCTTGCTCTGCACCAAAAATCTCTGAAGCGCACGAAGCATTGAGGCTATCACAAAGCTACCGCCCATATGATATAGTCTGGGTCGAGAGTGTACGCCTGTTTTATATGGTACATTCGCGGTTGAGCACTTGGCTAAAAAATGGTCGAGTTCATTGCCTACACTTGGTCCATGCCAAAAATAACATCAAAGTTCTGTTAATAAGCGTGGAGGCTCGGATCGACTATCAGTGGCATCTCGGCGGTGCTTTCGTGACGAACCGCTCTTCGTGTGATGTGAAGAGGATGAAGTTACGTCATCTTTCTCTTTGGTTTTTTTCTTCTTCTTGCCGCTCTTTAACTTGCTTTTGCTTGAGCCATGCGTAGCATTGCTACCAGAGAGAGATTTTGTGGATGCACCCTGCTTTCGTAGTAGCTTGTCTCGCTGAGCTTGGCGCTGCTTGACTTGCAGTCTTTTCTTGCGCTCTTTCTCCTCCGCCTGCATTTGCTGCCAATCCGTGTCGAATGCTTGCAGCTCAACTTTGCCTAGCACTGAGTTGCCATCTACCGTAGTATCCTCAGGGTCATCGAGATTGCTATCTATCGACGGGTTGCGCGAGGATGGTCCATCATTAGCTGACGATGTTACGGACGGACGAGACGACTTGCTATACTCTGACACAGATTGGACGCTGGAAATGGAAGTCGGTACATCACCAGAATACCGCTTCATAGGAGCCTGGATCTCAAAACTAAAAGCCTCATCATTTCCAGAGAGAATTTCCTTGTTGTCATTCTCACTATCGCTGCCGACTTCTTCTTGATCGGGCGTTTTTAGACCCAACGATGAAGATAGTGACAAGATCTCCACGTCTCTAGACTTGTACAAGATGTCGGAAGCAGCATCGTCTTGTCTTACGACCTTCTCGGTCATGTCTGAAGGCTCTTCAATCAGTCCCAAGTTGGGAAGCGATAAATGTCTCACTGTGCCACTTGCCTCTTCAGTCAAGGCTACCTTTTTGGCTTTTGGACTTGGTATAGCGTCATCAACTGGTGCTGGATTCACGGAGGCAGGAACGTCCGCTTCGTCATGTTGCTTCTTTTCGTTCGTGACCACAGCTTCAGTAGCTGGCTTCTTCATGTGCTTCCTTTCGAGAACAGGCTGGAGCTTGAAATCTCCATCTGTCAGACTGAAATTTGGTGTCTCATCCTCCAGCGCGCCAACTGACATTCCGCTCGACGATGCATCTGCAAGAAACGCTGTTGGAAGTGCGTAGGCTGCAGGAACATCATTAACCGTGAAATGCGAGCCTTCGCTACTTGCCTCAGCATCCGATAAAGACTTCTGACTGCGCAAAACACTTTTACTCATTGAAATAGGCGCAAGGTTTGGCTCAAGCACGGAATACTCGTCCTTTCCATCGTGATTTTCATCCTTACCGTACAATTTGGTCACATCCTGATCATTCGAGTTGTCAAATAGAGCATCAATCGGATCATCCTCCTCAATATGTTTATTTGTGCTCTCCAACTTTGCACCCAGTCTCGAAGGCGATGTCACCAGCTTTCCTTCATCCATGTTGGAGCTCGTATCATTCAGATATTCACGCGTCTTCCGCCGAGATGACAATTTCCCTCGCCTCTTCTTTAAGGACGCGAGTTCTGGCTCCGAACCAGAATCATTGGAATGCACATCTTCGTCAGTTTTGCGACTTGAATGCCTCGATTTTGCAGTCTTGCTCTTTGGTGGTTGTATAGGGTCTACGTCATCGTCACTGACATCATCTTTACTTATGTCGGTCAGCTTTTCTTCTGTTTGAAAGAGAGCTTCGTAGCTAGTTGCGCCGCCAAACACTTTGTGTTCGTTCGGGCTGTCCTCGAATAAATTAGCGAAAGAATCCTTGCGTGGTTTGGCAAACTTCTTCTTGCTGCCAGATTTTCGCTTACTCCCCCGCTCCACCACTGAGCGAATTGACGAAGTGTAGGAGGCGCCATTTTCTTCGTCACTGCTACCGTTGTCAAAAATGCTGTCTTTGCGAACAATTGAGTCTACAATACTACGACTGACTCGTGGCTTACGCGACTGACTTCCCCCGCCTCCTTTCCGAGTGCGAATCAACTGCTTCAATGCTGCGAGCTCGCTCTCTAAAGAGCTGATTTTGTCCACAATAATTTCAGCAACATCATCTTCAACCTCTTCACCATTGTCGTTGGTTGCAATAGCTGTCCCAGCAATTAGAGACGGATCGTTGTAGCCGTGATTACTCGTTGTGGGGGCAATCTTTTCCAGCACTAGCAATTCTGTTGACTTTGACCGCTTGACTCTTCTAGGAGCCACTACGCGTGCTGGAACCCGAGCTGCCACGTAGCTTCCCGTGGTAGAGTCAAAAACGTAATTGTTGGTTTGTTCAGACTCGGCAAAGAAATCATCAATTGATTCCGTGCCTTGCGGCTTGTTCAAAACCGAACCATACTTCAAGTCATCCATAATGCCGCCAAGGGTAGCAGGAGTCTCGTATCGAGTGGAAGTCCCGATAGTATCGCTGTAGACTGCACGAGGCTGGAGGATCGTCGGCACAGCGTATGTTGCAGTTCCAAGTCCAGAGGATGATCCTATATTGCTCCAGGTAAAACCAGATTCCTCTGCTTCGGATGCAACTTTTTTATCATTTAGCAATGACATGGCTGCAGATTCCCTCCATGCCTCAGTAGAATCATCAGCAGGCTGACTCGATGAAATAAAAGACAGGGACCCGTTTCCCGGCACAAATTCCTCGGATATGTCGGCAGGCCTTCGTTGGTCAAAACGAGCAACATCAACTGCACCGAATGATGCTTGACCAACATTTGTGTTCTCTTGAGCAGCCCAATTACTCCTACCGTCTGTACTGAACCGGCCTGAAAAATCGTCGATGTTGGCTTTTGGCGACATGAAAAGTTCATCGAACGTTCCTCGACGTTTATGCTCCGGCTCCTGTTTCTGGTGATGCTGCTTCGACTCACCAACATTTGAAGGCAATGTGACCTCCACGCGAGAGTTTGAGTCGACAAGCGCGGTCATAGTGTTTCTAAAGTTCGCTTGTGTAACTGGCTTTTCTTGATAATCATCATTGTAGTTTGCAACAGTGCGCCGTAGCAACCCACCTGAAACTGACTCGGTTGTAATCGTGCTATCATGGTAATTAGCACCTAATACAGGTGAAGCGTAGTTCTCAGCGATGTCTTTCTTTGGAGGAGCAGCTCCAGCTGCTTGCGGTGTTTTAGCAAGATTTTTTGGCGGAGTAGATGCCTTCTTTGACCCCATACCAAAGAAGCGCTTAAGCGCACCGGTGAAGCCGCTCTTTGTCTTTTCACTTCCTCCGGTGTCATTTTTTACATCACCACTTTGATGTTCAATAGGAGAGCTTGAAGTATGCGATGGAGGATTTGCGATACTGTATGAATCTTGCTTGCTTGAAAAGCGATGTACAGTCGTTGGCAGCAATGAGTTATTCGCCCATGCTGTATCGCGAGCAAGATGTTCATATTGTCTCTCTTCTTTCTTGTGCTGCGCTTCTCGCTCTTCCATCGTAGCCTCAAAATACCCTGGCGATTCGTCAACGACCAATTCGTCTGCATCTTGGTCGTAAAATGTCGGCTGATCAGGATTCAAGGTAGACACAGTCGGTGCCAGCGTGTAAGATCCATCTCGTGACGAGGACGATGAGTTTAATTCATCCAGCGTCATGTTTTGGTTGCTTAGGGCCCGAGGATTGCTAGCCTCTGCTTTCTTTTCCCTCCTTTTTGCTGTCGATTCCCGGCGCTTTGTTGCGCTGAATATGTCTGTAAAGGTGAATCGTGCCTGAAAACCCTGCTCATGGGAAGTGCTTTCGTCCAACTGCTTTGGACTACGTCTCACACTTTTGTAACTGTAGGGTGTGGTCATTGATTGTTGCTCCGGTCGAGGCATAGTGGTTGAGTGATTATCATCGTGACCAAGTCCTGGGCCACCCACATCATCATACTGAAATTGCTCAGAAAAGTATCCATCTCCGGATAGCCCACTGGGCTGTTCACCGCGATCAGTATACGCTAATGTTGCAATCTGTTGCTGTGGTCGAGGCATTTCAGCAGAGATGTCACCATCGTGCCCACGTTCCGGCCTACTTACATCATATCGAAATTGATCCGACATATAACTCTTGCCTGTAATTCCAGATGAAAGCAAGCTGTGAGCTGTTTGTGCGGGAACTGGCGTTTGCTTGCTTGTAGGCGTGACTGTGTACGTATCCTTAACACGATCCCTCCAGCCCTTCTCGCTGTAGGCTTCAACACTATTTCGAGAGCTTATCTGTTGATCTGGCACATCAGTAAACCAATCCCCGTCAGCATCGTCAATAATTTCTCCATCTGCTGTCGTCAGCTTATTTCCGATACCAACTGATTGATTCCAAAACGCCGTTGCTGTTGTTGGACCCTTTGCAGCCACTCCATTCTTCTGTAATTGCTCTCTTCTTTTCTTTTCCTTGCGTAAATTCTCCTCCTGTTTCTTTCGTGCCTTCTCATCATTATCATTAGACGTCGAAGTCCGTGCTAATGACGCCAACCGTTCACCATTACTCGAGTCTGCAACCACATTCAGCGTCGAATCACCTGCTGTCATCGTTTCGCGCTCGTAAGCATCTTGTTCAGCCAGGAGCTGGTTGTTGCACGCCGAACACACTCGGTGCTTCCGCCGTGAAAGCTCAAAGAACAAAAATGAAGAGCAGTCTGAACACATGATACGTCCACAATAACGACAGTGATGTTTACGTCTTACAAGTGAAAAGTCCGACTTGCAGAGACCACACTTGACTGCTTTGACATCAGATTCCCACTGTACATCAAATAGCTCTTGACTAGTTTTGTGACGTGATTTTTTGTTTCTTTTGCGTCTCTTTTCCTGCTTTCCAGAGTCTGTTGCGTCCGTTGTGTTGCTGGTCGAAAAACCTGATTTATCATGCACGTAAGACCTGGATACGACGCTACTGGACGCCATAGGACTCCATAGAGATGGCCGACCATCTGGTGTAACTGGCTGAGCTTCTGTAGCCTCGTAATTACGCGGTTTTTGCCTCACAGCGGAAGACGACGCTGACGGAGGGGGATTTCCGTATAAATCGTCGAATTCGCCGTCATCCTGGAGCATTTTGAACGCAAAAAAACATGTGCATACAAACAAGCATTAGAAAACGTGTGAGCATGCGATTATGATGCGCAAGACCACGTACGTCGTCGAAAAACGGGTCGTTCATGCCACCAAATTCTTGCGATTGAGCTTTTTCGGTTCCGTTTTTAAAGAAGGAACGAATTAAGTTGCTTATATTTATAAAGTGCAACGTGTTTGCATCCGTATAACAACTTAAGGTAGAGCAACGTATCGACTTCAACTTATCGACAGCTACCAAACGGATAAGTAGACTCGTCTGACACCTCTCTCAAACTTGATGGGTGGATCACGTTTGACAGGCTCCACTTCCACAGAGGAGACCACTATTACTAAAGACGATATGGTGACGTTCTCGGGATTGTCTGGCTATGCTGATGCAGCACTACAGCAGACGTGTATCGTTGTTTGTGTCCTTATAGGCCGCTTGAGCAGTGCGCTTGTCGTGGGGAATAGCTTCATTAATAACCAACCACTTGCGCGGTTCATTCGATTAAGCGATGATGTTTGGCACGGGGATGCTACCAGCCGGTGTATCCTTTCTTAATGACTGCTTTGTAGGTGCTAGGGCTTCTTTGGCGACTACAATTCATTCAAGCAGCATTCCTTGACTTAGAGACGTACTAGCACAAGACAACGCCAGCACCAAGCTTCATTGTTAGCAGCATCTAGACGTGTGTGTTCAGGTGGCATTTGACGATGTAAAGTCGAAGCTTTCGCCTATTGTCCAAAAATCCATAACGATGCACCAGTACTGGGTTTCCACCATGATGATGGTGTAAAAATCATTCTAAGCCGCGACGCCCAGTGAGTCAATGTCTTTTCACAATGTAGACAACAATGTTAAAAGACATTATGGCAACTTTTGAAGGCTCGTAGTGCAAGTGCATGTTTTGGTGATAAGCAATGGTTACAGCCACCCTTTCAAGGCACTATAGCCATCATCATCAAACGATTTTTTTAGCGCTGCACCACTAAAGAAGGCATTCCGTGCATTGGTTGCAAAACGACGACGGGGGACACTGATCGGGAGCTCACATTCTACGACACCGTATAACGTGGTGGAAGTGGAGGATGGGCTCAAATTTACGTCTGTTCGTCATCGACTCTTGATAAGGAGCATACCCTATGTATTCATAGATGGTGATAGGTTTTACCTCATACAGATCTCAAGTAAATAAAGAAACAACAAATGCTAAAACAGCACCTTGTTGCTACAACTGCCTTGAACTGAAGTGTCACGACCGACAAGGCGGTTGTCCAATTCAAATCTATCTCGTGCCCAGCCTAGTGTACAACACGCGCCCTCGCTTCGGCGACTGTGCATTTTCGACAAACGGACTGCTCGAGCGGCCTATAAGGACATAAACAACGATATACGTCTGCTGCATAGCCAGACAATCCCGAGATCGTCACCATCCTGCAGTCCTATTATAACGGATAAATCGATGTTTTCTACTTCTACGCTCCTGGTCGCAAATCAAAGTAGAATCATTAAGTGCGGTAGATTATCGTAAGGATCGACTAGGTCTTGACAGTCCAGCTGTTGTTTAAACGCAACTGTGCGTAGGACTGCATTACTGAGGTTCCAATTGACCGTCTGCTTTGTAAAAACGACATATAACAAGAGCAAACAAGAACGAGTCTCACTTTTGCTTGTGCATTGCAAACTCGAAACAAAACGAAAGCACGTCATGACTTTCAACTTGCAATTGCCGACCTGGCAACCAGGTCGTCTGACTGGTTTTCGTATCCCCATGAAATCCTTGACGCTGATTGTGACTCTGCTTTACAGCCTACATGAACTTGATGGCAAGACTTTGAATGTTGTTGCTGCTACGTCTTTGGTATCTCAAGGACATGATGTTCCGTTGGAAGGTATCAATAACAAGGTGGTGCGTCGTCTGGCAGGTGGAGATAAGGAACAAGGCAGCGAAGTTTGCAACAACTCGGCGTCGTTTTTGGGCGTGGGCAACACCGAGTGTCTCAACAAAAACCTTCGGACGGCCGTATTCCTGATGGCAGTTATCGTCGCCGTATCGATCATAGTTGACCGACTTATCCATTTCATTCGTGCGTCTATCAAGTGTCCGCAACTTCGTAAGATTGTCAACCGCATCTTTGAAGAAGTGATGATCATGGGGTTCCTGTCCATGGTGATCTTTTCTCTCAACACGAGTGGTGCCATGACGTCACTTGCATTAGACAAACTCACGGCATCGGAGAAGCTCCACTTCTACGAATTCTTCCACTATATCGTGTTCCTCACTATGATATACTTCATCGTCATTGTCTTGTTGCTGCTGTTCATCGGTACAGTTGTGCCGAAACTCGTTTGGGAGATCAACAAGCAGCGTCGAGAAAGTATTAGCGACATTCAAAACGAAGACACGTATCAATCGCAGTTTCCGAGTTTCACTGGAAGCAGCAGTGATTGTCCTGTCAATCGAAACCGCATGCGCCACTCTTTCATCCGAGACGCGTCCTCGCTGGGTCGCGATATCAATCCTTACAGTGTGGGTACCAGCACAATTGATGACGCGAATCGCACACTCGATACACCCCCAGGCGACTATTACATGACAATGCGAGCACGACAATTTTCTGATGGGGATGACATGCATCGCTCGTTGGCTATGAGGGCGCGAGCGTTGTCTGGCATGGACCTCGTCATGGGTTCACGAGTGTACAGCCTTTTGCTTCAGCGATATCGTCGCGAAGGTTGGTGCTTTCACTTCGACATCCGCAAGCAATGGAACCGCTGGAAGAGCTTTGAAATCCTCGCGTACAACATTTGCCAGCACAGAAGCGGCTATATCTACAAAAACCCTATTGAAATGGAGAGACTATTTGGTGTCCGGCCGACTCGCTGGCGGGATTTTCGAGACGCCGCTGGCACTCAAGGAGAAAATGGTGCCGATTGCACAGACGATGAAAACGGCATGACTTATGCCAAGTATCACGTGCTGTGCATGCGCAACTTGTTGCTCCACATGACCAACATCCCCCCATTCGCGTTCCTAATCCTCCTAGCCATCTCTCTGCTGCCATCCATCTTCCCCCAGCAAGATCACCGGATTTTTATTGGCGTGGGAGGCTTGCTGCTGCTCATGAACGTTGTCATCTTTTTCAAGGTGCTGAAAATTCTGCGCGGTATCGTAGACGACCGCCTCCGGATCATCTCTTTGCGTGACATTCAGACGCGACTCGCGAAAGAGCTTCAGAGCTCGCAAAGTCGCGCTCAAGGGCATCATGTTATCTCCCCGTCTAATTCTGCACCAATATCTGTTGAGGAATCGATGGCGGAAGACCCCAAACACCTCGGAGACGATGACCACAACGCTCTGGCTTGTTCCAAAAAAACACCACAAAAGTTCAAGGCGGCAGCGCTCGCTGTCCGCGCTGTAATTCGCATGCAAATGTCGGCACTTTGTCACCGACAACTTCACTGCCACGACAACCGATTCTGGTTCAACAGTCCGAAGTTGTTGCTTCGACTCTTTCAGTTCGCTACAATTGGACAAGCTTTCTATTTGGTATGGCTTTCACTTGTAGAAATTCCCAGCATAACGGACTCGTCAGCTTCCAATGGTGGCGGATCGGCATTCTTGATTCTCATGATATTTTATCCAGCTCTGGCGCTCCTTGTCATTACTCCACTCACGATGCCAAGTCTCGTGCTGGTCATGAGCCTCACGGGTATTTTTGTGGAGCTAAACGCAAGCAACGGTGATGACGTGGGAAACCATCGCAATGCGACTCAGGAAGAGGTGAAGACGCACACAAGGATCATACGTCGTTCATTTTTGAGAAGTCACCACACGGAAAGAGGGAGTCACCTGCCGCTGCCCGTGACACCACCGCTTGGCCCAGCTAGTCCGTCTGGCTTGCCAAACCATATCGAAAATCAACAGGACTCCGTAGCCTCTCCTACTAACGTATTTCTCCGTATCTATGACTCACCAGTATCTGCCATCAATACTGGCCGTAAGGATAATGGGCCTCGTTTCATTCCTGCCAACAGCAACTCCGTGGGACGCGACAATCCACTAGGTTATTCAAGAAGCCAAAGCAGATCCATTGGCAGCATCGGCAATATGTCGAGCCGAGCATTTGACCTAGCAGCTTTCCAATCTCAGGATAGTGCCGTCGCTTCGTCTGCACCCGAAACGACCAACAGAATGAAGGGTCAGGCTCCTCCTCAATCGCTGTCTTCATTCACCAGTAGCACAAGTAGTGCGTATAAGAGCCCCCAATCAACCACAATGGAGATCGGCGTGCCTGGAACCAAGATGAAGTGGAGTCAGGCGAACGTTGAACTAGACACGCAAGTCGGTAGCGGTGCGACTGCTGACAACAAGGAGCAGGGGAATGATCTGGAGCAAGCCCAGAGCCCAGTTTCAGCGTCTTTTAAGACTTACTGCTCCAAATACGGTGGCTATCCAGACCAATAAAAGGGCACATCCCGTCCAACGTCGCGCGACAACAAATTAAAACAATAAATACGACCCAAGTTCCCCATAACTGCAACGCATAACTCACATAGGTGGCGCTTCCAAATGTGGTTCTCTTTGAGTGGGGCATCAACAGTGGGGACCAACCATCAACAACTACCAGTAGTGAGAAGTAAGTAAGGAAAGTCAATGTTTTTTAATCCCTTGATCATCCAAACCGAAAGCAGAACCGTACCGGCATCTTGGCCTCAAGCTAGCGCAAGCTGGCGAGTAGAAACTCCAATCTCGTCACGATGACTCAGCTTTTGTCGTCCAAGAAAGCGCACTCGCCTCATGCGGCTCCTCTTCCACCCAATAGTTTGTAGGCGTACTTTGGTCGAAGTGCACGCTTCTCCTCCTGTCACAATATCATTTTATGGCAGTTTAGCATCAGTTTGACGATAACAAGCGTACATCATCGATACGTACCATAGATTCGTTTTCGTCCGCATACACCAAGCCAAGATCATTTTTCACCGCCTTTTGCGCTGCTCCATCGAATAAGTTGGTATTGCTGACTGTCATACCATGAAGAGTTGCTACCGTTTCTAGTCCAGACATTGGCACCCCTTGGGTTGGATATCCAAGAGGAGCTTGCGAAGAAGTAGGAGGAATCATCGTACCGGGTGGCGGTGGGCCCCTTGCCCATTGCGGCGGCATTCCACCAGCGTATTGTGGGTAGCCTTGCATATGACGAGGCGGCGGCATGAATCCTCGAGGTGGAGGAGGCCGCATTGGCAGACCAATACCAGGAGGTGTCATTCCACCTGGAAACTGCATCGGCCCCCGACCGCCAATAAATGGTGGTGGCGGCATGCCTCGACCAATATAACCTCCTATTATTAAACCAGACGGAGGATCCAGTCTTGGTTTCTTGGTTACTTCTCCATCAGCGTCTGTATAGACAAAAACAATGAATACATATCAAAACAATCATTTTTCTTGCCTTGTAAAGACTCTAGTACAATAGAAAGCTCACCTGGTACACCTTCCATGCCATAGACCTCAATTGCAACACTTTCTTTACCCTCTTTTGCATTTGGAATGCTCTTGAGACTTTCCTTATGTACTTGTTGCATGTGAATAGTCATTCCACTGATAGTACTGAGTTTCTTGTAACACGTTGGACACTTGAAATGCCGCGCCTTTTGATGTAGAATCAACACCTTCTCATCGTCAAAGTTACGATCGCAATAGTAACAGAAGATACGACGTTGTAGAGCTTCGCCGCCTGCACCACTCTCATTCTGTCGCTTTTTCTTGCCCATTTGCACTCCTCTCGCTGGCCTTCCCCGCTCCTTGTAATGTTACTGGGTTTGATAGAGAATGATTGTCCTTTTCATCCAACAACCTTCGTTCCACATTGCTTTTCTGTAGAAAACACTTCTAGCAATTAACTTGATTTCGCTATGGTGAGTGTATTGTTCGTGTGTCTTGGCAACATTTGCCGAAGCCCAGCAGGTGAAGCGGTGTTCAAGGATATTGTAGCCAAGAAGACGGGGACAAAGGCGGCCTCATTTTTCATTGATTCATGTGGTACTGGAGGTGGCAGTGCCAATTGGTACAGCGTCAATGGTTGGTCGTATCATGAAGGCGACAGGGCAGACTCGCGCATGACCAAGGAGGCCACCAAACGTGGCTACAATATGACGTCACGCTCGCGGCCGCTCAAGCAGCAGGACATTGATACATTTGATTATATCATATGTATGGATGAGAAAAACAAGGATGCAGTGCTGGAGGCCGCAGATGCCTGGGGTGGTGTCTCATGTCGCAGTCTCGCGACTCGTAAGATCTCCATGATGACCGACTATTGCTCGACGTTTGAGAACGAGACACGCGTCCCAGATCCGTGGTATGAAGGCGGCTTTGATCATGTGCTGGATCTGCTAGAAGATGCTTGTAATGGACTTTATAACCACATTGTGGCGAGCAAGATGGTCTAAAGACGGAAGATAAAAAATTGGGCATTTCGTACTGATACTGTCGCTTCTTCGAAACAAATGCTGACGATACTGTTGAATGCTGACGACAACTGGTACAATGTGGTCTGCAACAGCTCTTTATCACGTATGTTACTTCAAGGTCATCTTCATTGGAATGAATAGCCTTCACCATGGATCTACAGTACGGTTGAAAAAGAAATGATGACGACAAACCCAGTGTTGAGATAAAGAACAAGTTACGAATCTATGGAGTGCAATTACGCATCGGTCTTCTTTCATTTTTTCTTGGAAGGGATGGCCAAATAGTCGTTTACAGAAGTAGCAGCTTTGGACTTTGATGCCTTCTTCGCACTCTGTAATCGCAATTTATAGCAAGGTTAGCACAAAGCAGCAACTTCGAAATGGCACCAATTCACTCACATTCTGACTGAGAAACTTTTGCTTTAGACCCTCGACCGAAGTCGCGCGTTTGTTCTCTTCCTGAACCTCAGCCTTTTCTTTTTTCCGCTTCTTGGTGGTCTCCTTCTCACTAGGCGCAACATGCTCGGCCATCTTGTCGGCCTTGCGCTTCTGCAGCACGTGTAGATTCTCCTCGTGCTTCTTCTGGTTCTTGATGGCTTTGCGTTCATGCTCTTTCATAAAGTACTCACCACTCTCAATCTCCTTGTCCACCTTGCTGGCCGTGGGCGCTGGCGGGAACGGCGTGTATTCTCTCTTCTCACGCACCTTCTTGGGCTTCTTTGTCTGCACGTTCTGCTTCTTAAACGAAGGCAAGAAGCGCTCCCAGTTCTCGTCTTTGAGCTTGGGGTCCTTAGCCAGCTCACGCTTAATCATCAGACGCTTTACGTTGTAAATCGGGTGCACGTTTGCAAAACAGTCCTCGACAATCTTGCGCACATTGCGAAGACCATGGTAGCTACCCATAACTGACACTGTGTTACCCTGCACGAGCACATAGCAGTTGGTAAGCAGCTCAATGGCTTTCAGGGTGGCTCCGTCCGGACCCACGAGACGCTGGCGGCGCTTCACGAAGCGCTCTTTGTTGCGCACAAGGCCGCCAATCTTGATAATGTCGCTCTGCATATCATCATCCATGATCTTCACCGCTTGATTCACAGGAATACTGCGTGCTAGCAGCTTGATCAAGTCGCGCGCCTTGAGCACGATATAAGGGTCCGTGGTCTTGCGTGTGGTGCGCACCGTCATGCTGCCTTCCACCAGATTTAGCTCGCACGAAATCTTGTGCGTGTCCAGTGCCTTCGTGACGATGGGCCACACCTCACGCAAGTATTTCTCACGGTACTTAGGAAACAGCGTAGCAAACGAGCTCTCTTCCAGCAGACCTGGCATCTTGATCGTTTTCTCGGCGTTCTTCTCGTCAGGTACCTCTTCCTGCCATGGATCGATCTTCCAGTGGTCAATGTCTTCACTATCCCATGGTTTATCCTTGCGGTGGTTCTTCTTCTCGTCGCGGGCCTCCGCTTCCAAGTGATTGCGAGGACCGTCGCCGTCAAATTGCTCCATGGTAGAATGTCACTATTGATAACCGCCACCCAAATTTGAGTCAAATACAATATTATAAGTGTGATGTGATATTTCCAAATTTGTTTCCAAAATTCAATAAATACTTCTAAAAATAGTATTCTTGTTTTAAACGAAATTCATATTTTGACCTTCCTGGTAGCGACATACTGGCAGATACATGTAGTGATGGACATACTAATAATTGGACCCTAGTTGACGCAGTCACAATGACATGTTGGCTACAATACTGTAGCAGTATCGATGGTCAAACGAAAGGTGTCGATTTGATTGGTCAACTTTTGCTTGGAATCTTAGCATAGTGCCCATCATAAAAGCGTTACAACTTTGGACGAAAAGAAGGTGATTTCAGTGTAATCATCATATTGCAGTACAATTAATCGCTTGCGACTTACGTATGCAGAATGGATGACAAGGCACAAAAACGATCCTGCTTGTCATGTGGCGCACATCAGGTGGAGCGGGGCGTTTCTCCTTAGGAGCAGCCCTTCTTCTCTCTCTAAATTGATCGCGATGGCAGACCCACGGACGGCGATTCCAGTGAGTGTGTTCCGTCACGATGAGGAAGAGCCTGAAGATGAGGACACACTCATGAATATCCCAACAAGCGGTAGAAGCAGTGCTTTGATGGTCAAGCCACCGCCGCTTCAAGTTCCCGAGGCTGGTAGATCACTGCAACACGAAATCAACGACGAGATCGTGTACCCATGGCTACACACAAAGTCAAGCACAGTTAATGATACGACTGAATCATCTGTGATGATACCCACGACGCTATATGGATTGGTGCACTCGGAGTCTGACCCGTGGGTCCGCGAAGGTGAGACGACTGCGCTTTTAGCTGGTAGCTTACAAGACTCGAAGAGTAACGTGCGCTGGGAAGTAAATTCGTCGCTTGAGTATGGCACGAACGTAGAGATGAAGCATCGACATTCCATCTTGCGCATGAGCGCCAGCAAGACTAGTAGTAGTTGCCACGAGTTAAGGAAAAGCGCATCTGTGGAGTTTAAATTCGACCATGTCCATTTGAAGGCAGCGCAGAGTCTATATGCGAGCACGTCTTCCTTGGGACGTGAGCCACGGTGCGTTATTGGAGATTGTTGAATACCAAATGGTGACGTTTTCTAATTTCCATGTGAATCTTGCGTGGCCATGGACAGACGGCTAACAGTTGAAGAGAAAGCGGAGCTGTACCGAATTCGCCCTGATCTCGAAATCGGCCCAGTCCCCTTCTTTCACGAAAAAGTTGACGAGCTCAAGCGCAGGAATCAACGCCGCATCATTTTTGCCATGTTTGGCGGCATGATCTCGGTCGTATTGTTGCTCGTCTTCTTCTCCATGTGGGAGTACAACTGAGCTATTGCTGAGCGTGTCCTTTGATGATTGAATACGCTTGATCTGATAGAAGCCTTCATGGAAAGCGGCGGATGATTTGACAAGCAAATTATCATTTCCTGCGTCAAGATCATGATCGGTTCATGACGGCATTGTACTCTGTGAGGAGCTCGGTCAAACTCTATTCATTCTCGACATCCTCGCCTTAATCCACTGGCGAAGTATCTCATTATCATAAAACATATTTGTATGTAATTGTAGAAAAAATAATCAAATTCATTATATTAATACTGTTTGACGTTCGCTAAACATATGAAATGGCTAGATTGGTTGGCCTAAACTAGGACAAAATAGCGCCTCGATTCCATTTCTAAATTCTTCTTTTCGGTATAACAACGTTTCTATTCGCTTCCATTCGCCGGCAACGACACAGCAACTAAGTCTCTAGGCTACGTATACAGTATCATGCGTCTCATAACACACAACCTGCTTATGTGCAACAAAAAGGGTGTTGTAAACGGCTACCCTCTCACTATAAAGGCTGATAAGGTGGAAGTAGTGACCTGCGACTTCCACTCCGCTTTTGTGCGCAAGATGCTGACTAAATTGGACTGGAGTGGATTTCTCGCTGGTGCCAAGGATCTAAAGCTCGCGGACGGTCTTCCAGAGACACTTCCAAGCTCCGAGGAAGGAGAGACAGATGAAGAGACTTTGCGCACGATCCATCACGTTCTGTTGGAGGTGCATGTGAAGCAGGGCCAGCTCGTGTGCCCCGAATCTGGTCGTGCGTTCCCTATCATCGACGGCATCCCCAACATGCTGCTGAATGAAGACGAGGTGTAAGTACGATACATAGAAGTAAGCTCCTCGATAGATAGATGATCTGTATCAAAATGCTCATCTTCATGGGCATGTATCACTGTGACAAAATCCGATTACTTATCTTCACGCACGCTTTTAATGTCAGACTCTCCTTAAACTGTTAGAGAAACACATTTACCGATGCAAGTTGTGCTTTAAATGATCAGATCTGCAGGTTTTCGGAAGTAATCTGTACTTTGCTTGGAGTAATTGCTGCTCGCATCAAAAAAATGATGTTAGACCTACTATTACAGCGATGGGAGGCGGCAAGAATGACAACCTACCGGTCATTGTCATCGTTGCGATCGTCCTTATCCGACGGCCCTAACTTTGCCACAGCCTTGATCCACTGGACACGTAGCTCGAAATCGCCTTCTTTTTGATCAGCGATAGCAAAGCCGACCTGTCACCACCATCACCAAAAACATAGATATTACTTTAATGCAACTGACATCCTCACGTAAACCAGCCTGTGTGCCGTACACTTTTCAGCTTGGACGGATCAAGCTCTGTTTCGTCGTCAATCTTTACAAAGCCCTTAGCCGTCAACAAAAAGTCTCGGAATGGCAGCTACGGTATTCCACGTACTCATCATTAGTCCTGAGGAACAGAAGAAAATTTCGACAGCGATAAAATGAAACGAACACACACATTAATGTCGACCCACTCGTTGGGCGGTGTCCGAATGAAGCCCTGAATCACATAGCACCAAAACAATTACGTCTTTCTGCAACACTCACGTATCAACCGACCTTTTTAGCTTACCATATACAGGTTAAATGGGTTCCAGCTCTCCATTTGCATGTTCATGCGGTACTCGCGACCATCCGTCATAATTCGCATTGCAATTCCTTCGTAGCCGTGCAAAAGCAGCTCTGGTGGTACCGAAGCCCGCACTGCGCAGTATCCACTTCGAACCACCCCTACTTCCGTCGGCTGGCAATCCATACTCAATCTTCCAGCAAACACCGCTAGCACATCCAAGATACAAATTAGACCATATCAATCAGGCAGCTTGGCCCTTCAAACTTACCTGATGGGACATTGTCGTGGATGTTCACTTTATGAACAAGCCTCGTTGATACTTTCTCCACTTCGTTCGTTGATTCCTTTTCTGCTGCACCGCTAAAAAATCCCCATTGGCACTCCGACAATCCTGTGAACCAACGAAAACAAAAACAATCACTTGGCTGCACCACCTGAGACAAGTCCACAATACTAAAAACAAGCGCTTCTACCTCCAATCGATCTATCACTAGACGCTGTCCAGTTGACCACCGAATCCTTGGCATTGAACAGAAAAATATCTTTTTCTGGCTGTAGCTTGAGTTGGAGGCCAAGTGCTGTCAAAACAAAGCACAACCAGACCACAAGACATCACCAAATTCATACATCTAGATACAGCTACTACATTCAATTATCATGCATTGTCGTACATTGCTTAGAGCTCAGGAGTGTGGCGTTCATAGACGTCAACGCCTTCCGCCACAAGCCCATGATGACAACTTGAGGTCTCAATTGATTTGTCGTACTTAGTCAAGAAGCAAGGAATCGGGTTTTTGACCAATCAGACACAATTTTATTGTGAGGAAGTAGTGCATGATCAAGTCGCTATGAGTCTCAACTTGCCCAAGCATCACTGGGGCACTCGGGGCATGGATGCGTATGAGAAGCTGGAATGTATCGGTGCAGGCACCTACGGGTATGATGGATAGACTATAGATGACTGTAGCCAGCAAGACAATCGTCAAAGAAGGTGTACTTTTAATTAATCATTCTCTGTTTTGTGTCTGTAGCCAAGTGTACATGGCCAAAGATAAAGAGACTGGAGAAGTAGTGGCTATCAAGAAGATACGGAGTCTCAATGAAGTTCAGGGCGTGAGTCATGCGGTGTTTGCAGCTATTGCGTACAAGTCTGTGACGTGTCTTTTTTGTGTTGTAGCTACCGGTAACTACAATTCGTGAGATTAAAGTGCTCAAGTGTTTGAACCACCCAAACTTAGTCGAGCTCAAAGAAGTGGTCGTGTCATCAGAGAACGGCGATGACGACGGTGAGATTGGTGTCAGTACAAAAGCTGGAGAAGGAGACTAATATTGTGTATGGGTGACAGCTGACTTTGCGGACAAGGAGGAGCCGCTGGACTATTGTCACGGGTCCATATATCTGGTGTTGGAGTACCTTGAACACGACTTGACAGGTCTTATTGATCGACAACACCAGTGCGTTATTCAGCTGGCATGATGAAGTTTGTCAATTTGTGAAACTGATTGAAGGCTTTTTGGCGGCAGATTTGACGATACTGAGATCAAATGTCTAATGAAGCAGTTGCTGGACGTCATGGAGTACATGCACTCTATCGATATCATTCACCGGTATGAAGTTTACTACTAGCGTTGCCTACAATGATGACAATGGTTGTTAATTTTTGTCTTGGATGCATAGAGACATCAAGTGCTCGAACCTACTGATGACTCGCGACCATTTGCTCAAAGTGGCAGACTTTGGTCTGGCGCGTTCCTTGCGTGGAGATCAGCTTTTCACGAACAAAGTCGTCACACTGTGGTACCGGCCGCCGGAGCTGCTTCTCGGTGCCACAAGCTACGACGCTAGTATTGATATGTGGAGTATCGGCTGCGTATTTGCTGAGCTGTATATTGGGCATCCTATTTTCCAGGGCAAGACGGAGCTCGAGCAAATTACTAAGATTTTCGATATCTGCGGAACCCCAACAACCGAGTCTTGGCCCGACTACAAGTTCCTGACTCACAGCGGCACATTTGTCCCAGAGAAACCCAAGCCGAAGCGTCTGCGCGAGTATTTAATGCGCGAGGCTACAGCATGCAAAAGGATATTACCTAAGGGTGCTCTCGAGCTGATTGAGGCCCTCCTTGTACTGGACCCAGAGCAGCGGTTGACAGCCTCCGACTGCCTCCGCGCGCAATATTTTAACGTTCGTCCATATCCCCCCGACGACCCGAAGAAGCTTCCTCCTATCACAAACCTTCCACCGTCACACGAGTACCAGACAAAGAAGATCCGCCGTGAACAGGCAAAGCAGCTGAACGGTGGAGGTACGAACAGTCACAGCAACGCTGGAGCCGGAGGTGGGCGCAGCTCACGCCCGATCAGTCCATCAGGAGCGATTAGTGGAGGTCGGTCAAGGCAGAGCACCGCAAAAGATGCCGCTGAGGTGTGCGTGAAAACAGAGTTCAAGAATAAAGAAGACTCATCGTCCTCGGCCAAAAAGAAGCGACGTGTAGCTTAAGTCCGCTGTGGAAAGTATAGAGCATCAGTGAGCAGGTTTAGACAAGCGGTTGCCGATGCATATCACTGTTTGTAAATAGCTCATTGATTCTTTGTCTTTGATTATACGCGATAGGACACGCAGATTGTTGCGCCGTAAGGAAAAGAGTTGTGCATGTGTCAATGCGTCCTAAGGTAGCGGGTCCATGATTGCGATGATAGAAATAGGACCATATTCTTCAGCTAAGAATTAGCAGGTCAAACGAACAAGTCAGCTTTATCCGGCAGTAGAGAAGCAAAAGCTGGCACAAATTATTCTGTCTTTACTTGTTGTGTACCACGTAAAATGTCTCCAGTAACGCGAAATTTACAATCGCTGAAACACCAAATTTGCTCGTGTTCCAAATTGAGTTGGATTCAAGCTGATAATTTTTACTCGATCTATTTAGAAACGTTTTGCAGACACCTTCATCGAGCATATCCGTTGGTCCCGTCTCTTGTCCGTAGTGCTTATCTCAGTACCTCAACATGTACCCATCACAATAAATTCTTTTTAACGCAGAGATTGAGAGATGTGGAAGCTCCTGGAACAAGTGACCAAGAAGGCGCCAATTGAAGCTTCAAACTACGTAAACTCCGTGTATGAGAAGGCGCAGACCCTCGCCACTGCCGTTCAGGACGAAGCCTCGACGTTACTGAGCAGTGCCATAAGCTCTACTCGCTCTGGACCCGTGGACGAGATTCTGTATGAAGAAGTGGCACCCTATCAGCAGTTCTTGAGCTTTTTTTCAGTCGAAGAACATACGCACGAGATCAAACGTGCAGTGGAAGAAGACGCGAACATCCGTGAGCTGCACGATGCCATGGTACCACTGGAATTGAGCTATAACGAATTCTGGTGCCGTTACTTTTTCCGACAGCAGCAGGCGGAGCAGTACGAGCACGCACGACAGAAACAAGCTATGATGGACAATAACAAGAACCCAGAAGACAACATAGACGAAGAAAACAGCAAGGAGGATGCTTTGGATGGGGACGACGAACATAGACCACAGTACAAACAGTCACGTCGGGAAAAGGTAGACAGTGAGAAGCAGGATGGACCTTGGCTCTTGGAAGCGGCAGAGGACTCGGAACGGTGTGCGGCCACACAGTGGCGACAAAAGGCGAGGGATTTGCACTATCAAGTACAGGAAATTAAGCAGAGGTACGATGAGAAGGGGCAGAAAGCGATGCAAGAGTGGGAAGAAAAGCTGCAGACACTTTGTGATACCTACGAAACGAAGTTGGCTGCAGCGACGATACAGATTCGTGAAGCCCGGGCGGCAGGATATGATGAAGGGGTTTGTGAGAGTCAGGCCATTGTGGAAAGTGTACGTGAGAAGGCGGAAGAAGATATGACGCGACTCCGTTCTGAGATATGTGAGGGTGCATTTGAAGCTTCGGTGAATGATAAAGCTGAGTTGACGACAGAGAAGGAGGAGCTGCAAAGAAATCTGACAACTGCTCGTCAAAGAATAGTTGAGCTGGAGAAGCTTAGAGGATCATCAACTGCGATTGTTGAAGGCGAAGCTACTGCCGAGCTGATTAAGGAAAGGGATGTGTGGCGAGTGAGAGCACTCAAAATGAAGAAGCTTAAGGACCTTCTGCAGACCGAACTCATGACTCTACGTCACCAGCGTCATTTTAATGCAGCTGCTGGCTGGGATTCTCTTGCGACTAGTACTTCATTCGCCAACTCGGACGATCACAGCAAGCTCCAGACTCGCATGAATGAGCTGCAAACTCAGCTAGCAAATGCGTTGGCTGGTTCTGAAGCTCGAGCTCGCGAAGCGTATGGAAAAGGTTTTGTGACAGGCAAGGCTGACGCAAAACAACGGGTAAAACAGGAGCGCGACCAAGCATATGAGGAGGGATACAAGAAGGCACAATCGGATGCCAAGAGTGAAATAGGAGTGCTGAAGGCTGAGATTAAAATGTTTCGCGCTTTTCATGAGAGTGCAGTTCACTGCGCCGATCACATCGATGGAAACGCAGAAGGTCTTCTAGACAACTCCCTGGACAAGATTTCGCTGGCTGAAGGGCACTCACTTTGCTCGCCGACGTCATCTGTCTCGATATTTACTGATAACGGAAAGAACGACTTCTCGTGTTCTGAGATTCCCAAATCCACGGACGATTGGGGTGAATGGTGATCGAGTGACCGTTTCGCGTGCAACATGTTGCTAAGCGTGCTCTGTTGTAAGCTCAACGCTGTCTCAAATGAATTTGTCATGTGCATAGCGTTCAATGATGTCCGTTGGCAATCTACTGATTCGACTTCTCTTTTGTTTTGAAGCACGAACTAACATAAACTTCCGGTTGCAATAAATTCCGTACCCGCCTACTCGATCTCAGTCGCGAGTGGGACATGATTCTTGTCTGTAGCGTCAAAATGAAACGACAGGCTGATCATTTGGGTCGTACTTGGGCTGTGGCCTTACAGCAAACTGCAAAAGCTTTTGACTTAGGTGCTTCCTACCTCGTAAGCCTGTTGACCTACCAACTACATTTCATAATGATGAGCCGACCAACAACGCTTAGCAGCGCGATCCGCAACTTGTCTTGATGACTTTAGTACTGCACAGCAGCAATTGGCTTAGTTATCAACTCCGCCTTCATGCAAAGCCCTTCCTTCCAGCTGGCCGCGCCTGGCGTGCCTTATATTGTGTAGACGGGCACTTCTACGAAGTTGCCTGTACTACTAGCACACACCTTATGCACAAGCGAGGAAGCGGTTAGACCGTCTTACCTTCGCGTGCGAGGGTGGTATAGGAGGTTGGTCGACTGCTTAAGCAGTCGTACCACCAGTTGCCTCTTGCTTAAGCGAGAGTGCAACGAACTTCTAAAACAAGAAGGCACCGACGTCACGTTGAAGCTTTCCAGCTTCTCGTGCGTGGTGCTTCGGTGTTTAGCAAATTCAAGACTGAGCTATATTTAATGCATTATAACTAAATATATACTTAACTACTGATTGGCTATATATGTATATAGATCGGATACGCGACTCTTTAGAAGCGTATCCTGTCGCATGATCTTAAATCTAGATTTAAGATCGCAACTGACGTCCTTCTGAGACGTCGCGATGCCTAGATTCAACTAGCGTCATCCCTTCGTATGTGAATATGTGAATCCATAAATGGATATCACATTCACGAGGGTGGATCACATTTATGTATCGCACCCAAGTGACAGGTCAAAAGTAATGATGGATACTTTTAGGCCTTTACATTAAGTGTATTACTTAATGTTTACGTGTAACTAGATGCCCTGTTACATATTGGCTTTTGCGTAATAACGCATAGCTCGACATATTCCTCGTAGGGAGTCTTTCGCGTTGCGATATCTAAGGCGTCGTGGCTTCAAGTACTGTAGTAGAGCTACACAGCTCTTTAGTCAGAGGAAGACATTAAAGGCTGAAAGCCTTTTAGTTATAAAAAACTATTAAAGGACGGATAAAAGCCACTGTTCTATGAAACTAATCAAACGACTACGAAGTCTACCCGTTTTACGGAATTAGGGAGGGACTTCTAGCCGACAAGCAATAAGCTTAAGGGTTCAGGGAACCAACGCACAGAGTTCAAGAACAAGCTAGGAGCTTAAAAGAATCAACGCACGATGTGCACAAGAAAAGCAAGCCAATACCGGCTTTATCTCTACGACTCAACATGAGAGCTTCTTTTATTGATGCATTAAGATTTTTCGAAATAAACTTACCCTAAGTATCATACACTAGATTCAATCACTATAATAGTAAACATAATAGTAATCTCAATATGCAGACTTCTTTATGAAATGACGAGTCATTCGAACATCTATGTATGATGTACTTACCACGGCGATATCGGTTATCAAGTCTTAACCGATATTGTACGGTATAACCGATACGGTACTTCAACGCCCACACTTAATACCTCCTTAACGGAAAGTATAAGAAATACAATGTATATAATAACCTATGTTTACAACCGTGACGTAAAGTCGAATATATGATCCAACCGTCGTTCAAATTCATTACAGGTACTTCGCCAATGTATGACCGACCATTTGGCCAATGCATTCTTCCACGGTAGGTGGCGTGAGACATAGTGTAGATGAGCGCTTTACAAGCTGCCAAGTATTACAAGAATGCACACCTTCTGTGCTAATGAGGAAGCGGTAAGACCGTCTATACTTGCTGCGATGCAGCTGATCCCTCTTTCAGATAAAGCCCGAGCTACCATTCTATGGAAGTCCTCCGCACTATCAGAGGGCGAGAGTCTTTCGTGTCCACCCATCGAATTTCGAATAGGCGTTGGACACCAGCTTTAATGCTGAGCTCAACGTTAAAGAGGCTTGCTGTGGCTCAAATGGGCATAAATTGAGCTCTCTGACTGGGCTAATCCCATGGACCTCAGCTATGCTGACGGTGAATAAGCTGAGCTTCAAGTTGCAGAGCAACAACGTAACATCCGTAGATGTTACATGTGCGGAAGCACAAGGCACCCCGCCAAGCTGTCCGTTGCGGAAGCAATGCCAGAACCAGCAAAACTGTAACCCCGCTCCAAGCCAGAAGGCGGAGTGGTGGGGAGAAACGTGGACTCCCAGGAGCTCTACTGGTGATAAGTAAATTCTTTATAACCTCTAGGAGGTAGAGGTGAATAGGGATTAGCCCTAGAATTTGTGAATTATACTGTAATGCATGAGCACAAGCAAGGCTTGTTGGTGGCGTCAGCAACCACTAAGGGCTGAAATAAGCCATGTTCAACTTTAATTATTTCAGGGGCGTCAGGCACTTATGTTCGACGCCGTTTCGTTAAAGGAAGTCAGCGATATGCTGAGGCGCTAAAGCACAAAAAGGTGATTTTATCACGGCCCGTCTCGCGACCCACCACTCCAAAATTCTGTTAAACATAGGGATAAAGTTTTTGGATTTCGATAGCATCGAATGATGTCTTGTTCTAAATTTTAACTCGAGATATGTGCTCATTCTCGGTATGTATTGGCTGAAACGCCATGAGGTATGGATCAATTGGAGACCCAAAATCTTAGGTGCTACGCGCGATGTTCCTAGTGAAGCTTTGGAGAGTCATAAACCCAACTTCGATAGGAAAACAAATCTCTATTGGCGCGAGCCGCTAACCGAGCCAGTTTGTGTGCGGATATTGGTGTATCTGAGTTAGTAAACATTCAAATCAACAATAGTAGCGTCGAGAAATGCTCATTGACACATAGTAAGACTATAGACGGGTGCTTCTTGAAAAAGCTGCCACGTACGACGTGGGCACACACCTTCAACTAGCGTGAGGAAGCGATTGGACCGTCTAACCTTGTGGTAGTGTTGGTCGGCCGCTAAAGCGCCATATCAAATGCTTCCGGACGCTTAAAAGCGATCTGAGCAACTAACATAAAAACAAGCACCTACCTGCGTCACGGAAGCTGTTTCCAGTTTTCCCGTGCGCAGTGAGTGCGATATAGTAAATTATAGAATGACTTATATTTAATATATTTTTTTACTAAATATAACCTAACTACTGATTGGTCAAGTATAAAGATCGGATACGCGTCTCTCTAAAATCTTATCCTTGCGTGCGAGCTCAAATATATTCAAGCTCGCAGGTGACGTCTGTTTGAAGCGTCACCATGACGCCTAGTCCCAACTGGCGTCATCCTCGTTATATGTGGATTTATCCATGGATATCACATTCATGAGGGTGGGTCACATTGATGTGCCACACCCAAGTGGCAGGCCTAAGGCACCTCGTACCCATTTAGGCATGCTTGTTAAGTATTCGATACTTAACGAACCGTGAAACTTTTAGCCCGTTACATCATCCCCCTCTTTAAGACGATTATTAATTTTTTGTAGAACATCTAAAAAGAGACGATGCCGCTGAATCTTGGAAAGGCTGATGAATCGCTTGAAAAGGTGCCCATGCATATCAACGAAAAGCGCACGCGCCGCGCTAACTCGCAGCTGTCGCTAATTGTCTCTATGACAACGCCGACATCTAATGTCAGCTTGCCATCAGAGAACACTAGTCCATCCCACTATGGTGCGGATCATGACTTGTCTCTCATTTTTGACTAAAATGAGAGTACAATATTGCCATCACCCCAAAGTGGTGATGAGAACAGTGCTTTGATGGGACATTTGTCCCCATCATTTGAGACACCCAGCCTTCAGGGAGCTTTCATACTTCCATGCTTCCTGAAAGCGAGGGGCATGCCTCGTCGTCTGCGCCAACGAGCGCAGCAACCAAAAATGAGCGCGCTGCTTCTAAAGAAAGAGTCGCGACTCAACAGCAGGCCGGCAATTATAAATCAATCGACTCTGTCAACCCTACGTCTGACGTCTTAACAATCCATAATGGACAGTCGGACTCAGTTAAAAGCTCCTCCGACTTCACAGTCGGCCTCACTAGCACGCCGTCACGAGGGCGGCTACGTGAGTGATGGTTTTCCAGCTATGCCACCGCCATCCGAGTGGTCACGCTGGCGTGTAAATAGTGCGACGATTTTAAGGCGTTCCACTATTGACGCTAATGAACTTTTTAGCGTCTTTCCATTGTGGAAAAGGCAGGGCAAAGTACGAGGTCTTGCTTTCCCTATCCCCGTCGTGCTGCGTTCTAATGAAACAATCGACGAATAGGAAGAATAATTTTCTGTGCCGTGTTACACTGCATGTAGATGCAGTGATACAGAGGTCGCAGCAAATCAGCTTCGCTATGACGCGTGCGAGAGAGATATTAGGTGACAACATACCCCCAACTCTTTCTCGCTACGCTGCCCCTGCTAGTTCATCAGGACCTAGCAGAGCGAATGCAGCTGGTGATTCTGCTTGTAAGCAGCCATCATCCCAGGCACGTCGACACGCAACGCGTCAACTGGTTCCCAAGAGTCGAGGATCTTCGGTTATCCTTTCCACCGGACAAAGATCTGAAGCCTTTGCTTCATATGGCGTTGGCCAACAACCTTCCAACAAAGAAACGTGTGTTTCCACCCGCATCCACTAACAAAGGTGGCACCCGATAGGAGCGGCGATTACGCCCAATTATTCGCGTCTGTCTACCATATTGTTGTTCAGTCGCAGGCGGAGATCGCTGCGCTGAAGAAAGAGGTGGCGAATCTGTCGAGTCAAGTCTCGCGACTGACTTCGGATCTACGCTTTGTGAAT